AAAAAAAAAACGTTTTAGTAATTAATAAATTTTAAACTCTCTAGGCCACATATAAGTTAAGTTCAGAAATGAATCAAGCCAAAGAATCAGGCTCTTTTATTTCTAAGCTATAATTGATGGAAATTCCTTATTTGCGCAACTAAGGGCCAGTTTTTGAGTACACGGCCGGGATTTAAACCCAGTTTAAACGCCCGATTTGGCTGGTTTAAATTAAGATTAGCCAATCAAATGTGAGCCAGCTGTTCAATTTAAACTCGCTTACTTAACTAACTAATTAAACTGGCTCTTAAAAACTGGCCCCCAAGTTCCAATTCGGCATTTAGGGGTGTTTGCGCATATTGGACATTTCCATCAATTATAGTTTAGAAATAAGATTGTTGCTTGGCTTTATGTATTTCTGAACACACGAGCTACTTACATATAATTATCTAAATTAAATATACGTTTTACGCCGCGATAATGTTCAGGCAGTGTAATCTTGACCAGATCGTTTGTGCGCTCTCTGCAGAAAACAGAATTGTGCGCTCCGGCTATAAACAGTGGTACAGGCTGTTCAAACGCTTCCAATGGAATTTGTGGTATCAAAACGGTTGATTCCGCATCGTTTAAACCACGTCCACCGCTTATCAGTTTTTCGATTGGCACTGGCCCTAACATGCTTGCGTCATAAGCGAAGGTCTCATTTTCGTTGAGGGAAACATTTTGGTTCGCCTCCAGTAGCGCTTCATTGATTTCACCGAGCCTTAAACATAGTGTAATAATATTATGGATAGTATGGAAAGAGCAATGTACTACCAACTACTCACTGATAGACACTTCCATTTGTGCAACTGATATGAAAACACTGCCCCAGTTGTTGTATGCCAGCAAAAGTGCGCCCAGTCACATGTACGTCTTCAGCGTTTACGGTTACATTGAATAGCGGTAGACCTTTAATAAAAATGCCATGAATCTCGCCATCACGTAACCCTACTAAAATTAGATTTCCCGAATTCGAAATTGCAACAGCATCTATGTGCGCATTGAAGCTGAGGAAGCTACATTTCGCCACCAACTCGTCTTCCAGCAATATTAGACTTTTATCCACAGAGATAACCACTTTTTGGTTTTGCAGTGAAGCGTGTACTTGCGGGTACTCCTTTACCTGTGTTATTAAAAGAATCCATTATATTCTTATCAAAATATACAAAAATAAATTTTTGGTTTTTCACCTCTTCTCCACTCTGAATCCTAAAAATTCCACGTGAGGAGAAGGCGTTGGAAATTGTATCTTCCTCAACTGGAGATTGCTCGAAATTGCACCACATTATTTACTTCAAGGAGTTAGATTTTTTTCACTTTTGTAAAATGTTTTAAACTTTTGAGACGCGGTTTTCCCTTTGTCATTCAAATACTTTGTTTATTGTGACATTCTAATTTTTCCCACTTGCGACATCTATGGTAATTTTAAACATGAAAAGAAAATGGAGCGTCGGTATTGGGACAAAAAAAGTTAGGCAATTTCTGTCTAAAGAGCGAGATACACCACACAAGCGGCTCGTCAAACATACTTCAAAATACTTTTCCGATTTCGTCATTAACCAAGCAAACATGTTCCCTCAAAGAGTTTTCAAACATTCAAACACCCCCAAACATAACGCAAATGGCTTGAAATAAAGGAATATTTCGCTTGGTTGTCAAGCCACTTGTGGTGTGTATTTCCCTCTTAATATTTATTAAATTTCTATTTTACAACGCTTTTTTGGTAAGGTATTCGATCCATAACTTTGCTAAAGAGCGAAATACACAATACAAGCGACTTGACAATACAAGCGAAATATCCTTTTGCTTAAAGCTATTTGTGTTGTGTATGGGAATACTTGAAGATTTGACAAGCCGTTTAAGGGAAATTTTAACAAAAATCATAATTATTTGTTTTTTATTTTTTTTTTTTTTTTGGCCGACATGTTCACGTTTGGTCAAACCGTTTGCGTTGTCAATGATAAATTCGCCATAATCTGACCGAAAAAACAATTCACCCGAAAAATTTTCAGCCGCCCATATCTAATCAATACATGGAAACCAAAGGTGAGGAGTGAACCGACAGGACAGTCGGGTCTACGTAACCGGAACGACCCAGATTTATATCTGGCCAAGGACTGTCACTCCAGCAACACTCCCCAAAAAGTCTTTGGGGAATTTGTATGCTGCTACAACAACAACAACAGTGAACCGATTCGGGGAAAATGAAACTCATGATAAGGCTGTGAGTTTTTAACAACATGAACTGGAAGAAAACTAAAATATTCAGAATAAAATATTTTACTTCAACATGTCATGTTTGCACGGAGAATGGCGAAACGGGAAAAGAAGGTTTGAAGCAGCCACTTGTGTAGTGTATTTCGCTTTTAAATAAAAGGATTTTTTAGGAACAGATAAAAAAAAAACTAAATACATACTTCCCTTGGTTTTGTTCCCTCAATATTTGTTTTCAGTGTTTTATTTGCATTAATGAAAGACACAAGATCACGCGCGCACGAAAGAAATAACATTACGTCATTATAACAACTCTGCCTATGATCAGCTGTTCGTTAAGTGTTGCCATCGCTAAATTTTTATGAAACCGTGTGCGGCAGCAATCAGCCAATGACAAAGCGACAAGTGAGTGTCAAAAAGTTCTCGCTATTTTATTTTCACCGGCTGGGCATTTGTTGAAGGAATAAAATATAATAATCACAGACAAAACTTAAGATCAATTAGTGAAAATATCACATCTAGAATAAAGGCTAAATTATTCTGACAAAAGTATTCAAAAGTAAGTAAAATTAATTTAAATGCAACTCAAGAAATTGTAGTTTTCCCCCAATGCGTACTCATCCCACTTGGCAAATATGGGTGAAATGTTGAATAGGAAAAGAAAGAGTGCAAGACCAAAAGTGATAGGAAAAGTATGCGTGTATACGCATGTGGCTAGTAGAAAACGCTTACGTAGCGACGAAACTTGTCATAATTGGAAACTTGCTGCACCATCGTCTTGCAACTGTTCAAACAAATGCCCAATTGTTGCTGATTGTTTTGATTGTTTTTTCCAGAAATTTCATAAAAAAGAGATAACAGCCAAAATGCGTGTCCAGGTGGTTTTTGTGGTACTTGCCTTTCTACTGGTCCAAAGTAGCATAGCGTTAAAAGAGGAGGATTGTGAAGGTAAGTTCTTGAGCGAAGATGGATTTCTGTTAAATTTGCCAGCTGGCAGTATTTTCAACAAAGCCCATTTACGTACATCCGTATGTAATCTTTGGTTGTATGTGTAGGTACTAAGAGAAATTTGCATTTTCAGTTTGCATTAAGACTGTAAAACGCTTCGCTGACACATTGGACGATGCTACAAAGAAGGATCATAAAAAAATTGAGGCTAAATTTAAGGATTTCTGCGAAAAGCAAAAGAATAAAGAACACAGATTCGTAAGTGTAGAAAAATATGTATTCAAATTTGTGGGCGTACAATTATTTGTAGATATCTTTGACGATTCATATTTCTTTAGTGTTACTACTTAGGTGGTCTAGAAGAATCTGCCACTGGCATCTTGAATGAGCTGAGCAAACCATTGAGCTGGTCTATGCCTGCCGATAAGATTTGCGAGAAACTCAAGAAGAAGGATGCACAAATCTGTGATTTGCGTTATGGTAAGAATTTATTGACATGTAAAAACTTCTGGAGTATATATACGTATTCAATACAATACAATATAAATTCATACGTTCCTACGTATGTACATAAATAACCCGGCTTCCGCGTACGTCAGAATTGAAGGTTCTACAGAATTATCTGCTTTTCCTAAAATTCGGGTAAAAACCACAACTTTAGCACAAGCGGGAATAGAGCTAAAAATGCGGACTTCAATTCTTTGGCAAGGCAAAGTATTTTGTACCCTTCGACCAAAGCAGACGAATGCAATTTCTGCCAAGAGATCTACAAAGTTTGTGATTTAGATACATTTTCATTAAAATAGCTCCAGAGAGTTTTTGTAAATGTTTTGATTTTACTACTTGGTTAAAATGCAAATACATGGCTGATTGAAAGATCGACCGGATCGAAAACGCCCTACCTTAGAATTTGATTGAAGAACGCCCTATTTCAGGCCCTATATCAACACATATTCAGATAGGGCGTACTTCAACCAAATTCTGAAGAAAGGTGTGGTTGGTCTTCGAAATAGCCGTCGATATGTAATTAGGTGACATTGTTAAATCAAGACAAGCCATAAAACTTGAAAACAATCCATAGTAAAGTTATTAAATTTCGAAAGTTTATTTTTCATCTTGTACGAAAATATTTAGGAAACACTCTTAAACTTGCCACATTTAGAAAGGTTATCAGTGAGGTCATATACTTAAAGAACAATTTTTGAAATTATGTAAATATTAAAGAATGCGATAACGATAGCGATTGGAAGTGCCCAGACTACTCGAAAGATTAGGTATTCCATTAACAATGTTTACATGTATGAGGATATTGTAAGGCTTTAATTTATATCTAAAAAAAAAAATAAAAAATTCCGAGGGCTAATCTATCATGTCATCTACATACCTACACATACAAATTTGTGCATAATAGTATTTTTTTTTACTTGAATTACATTTTTAAAATGAAGTGCTATTTAATCATTTTTTTCTTCGCCTTTTTTAACAGAGAAACAAATTGATTTGAACAGTGTAGATCTAAAGAAACTGAAAGTGCGTGATCTGAAGAAAATACTCAACGACTGGGATGAAACTTGCGATGGTTGTCTTGAGAAAACAGACTTTATCAAGAGAATAGAAGAGCTGAAACCGAAATATGCGCACAGTGAATTATAAGGAATAACTACTACATACATAAATAAGTGCATCCATTTGTGCAAAAATTAATTTATAATTATGCGTACACCCAGAAATTAGTTATACGCACCAAGAAAGCTGCGGCAGTTTTTTTTTTTAATGTTTTTCGATTTTTTAGAAAAATTTTGATCGAAGGCATTTATAGTTTTTGCAAAACGACTAATGATGTGTGAGAAGAGAAACAAACTATGCAATAAATAACAAAACCACCATAACAAATACATACGAGTTTTTATTAAAAATAATGATATTCATTTTTATTCGATACAACAAATACACAACAGTACATGTAACGTACGATGTGCGTAATACATAAAAATACACATGTAAATTTACATACAATATTATAAATTCAAAAATGTATTAATTAAAAAAAAATTTGCACTAATTCCAGTAAATTCATACGGTGAGCAAAAAGTGAGTGAAAAAGGAATTGTAGAAGAAGGAAAGAAACTTATACATACATTATTTTAAGAAGAATGGAGAAGGGGCATCATAGAAAATTACACGAGTGCATTTTAAGTAATAAAACAAAAATTTGCCAATAAATACATAAATTAAAAATATTAGTTGCAACTTTTACACCAAATAACAACGATTTTTCACTGGAAGTTTTGAGTATGTTGCCGTCTGCTTAAACTTAAAATGTAAAAACTACTTTTTCGAATGCTTCCAGGTAGAAAAAA